AGAGAATATCATGGTCAGGAAAATTAAAAATATTTCCTAAAAATTTACATTTGCAGACTTAAAGACCAGAACTCAGGTCATAGTCACAGTCTAAAACACTTGGCCTTCAATAGCTTCTCAATAATGATATTTATGTTCTCTTTGGTTTTAATATTAGGTTTTTAATATTAGGTCAGAAAAAAAAATATGCCTAGTATATCTAGTAAAGTTACAAACCTTACTTTACAGTATAAAATATGTATTTGAACATAATTTACAATTTATATGAAAAACCAATTGCATTACATTATGGCTTTCAAAATCAGGAGAACTGGCTTTTAATTTTTTTCCATTGTTTTTATAGGGTGATTGGCCAAAATCTTATATTAGAATTAAAAACACACACACACACACACATACACACACACACACACACACACAGAATAAATGTGGGTACAAACCACTCTGGGATTACTGTAGAACCCTTGGACAAATGTCTGACCTAAAACCCTAAAATTTTTCACATAGTACACAACAAGCAGACTATATCAATGAACTCATGCTAGGCTAACTAAATCCATCCACAAGAATGACTATTAACAGGCATTGCTTGAGGGCAACTTTACCAAATGATGACACTGTGACATGCCCACTCACCTCTATTGCAGGTAGGAGGAGAGGAAGAGCGTAGATAAAAAGTTATCTTTCAGCTACTGTTCATTCCCCTTCTACCATGTTGACATTAATAGGTATAAAAAAGAACAAGCTCCCTCAATACCCATTTTTCTGCTAATGATATGGCTGTTTTAGATTCAGAAAGAATCTGTGTTTAATAAAGATAGGTTACTTATTCAAAGACAACTTAAATTATTTTAGTATATGGCAGAACTCTACCTTATATTTATTGTAAATGTTGTAACTAAACAAAAGTACATTAAATATCCTAAGGGTCCAATGTTCCACCACTAACAATTAAATAGCAATCATCCTATCAAGTTGTAATAGGTGTTAAAAGTTAGTGTTAAATTATCAAAATCAACTTTTACTTAAAAATGATTTCCCTTAGGAGTTTTACACAAATAAAATGTTTCATTTTACTCATACTAATTATAGTTTTTTTCAGCTTGATGACCCATAATTTTAGATCTATACCGTAACATATCCAGGTGATACAGATGCCGAGAGCACAGGGATTCTATTTTAGAGCCCGGAACTAGCTCTTGTTTGAATACTTCCAATGACTTTATATGAGGACAAGGCCACCTTTCATTTAGGAATCTTCAGACAGAACATTAATATGGAACCAGAAACTTTCATTTCTTAGAATTAATTTTCCCATTAATAACAACAGAGTAATCCTGTTCCTTCTTACATATGGCAGTTGCTCAAATCTTATCTTCTCCAAAATAAATATTGCCAATTTCTTGGACTGCATCCCACTTACCACAACACTCAGGCCTTCCCCTTTCTGGCTGCTAAACATTTAATGTCCCTCTAAACGTGTGGCACATACCATTTAACAAATAATGTAAATGTTTTGGTCTAAATATCAGAGAACATCTGGTTTATTACATCTCTTGATTAATAATAGTTTTATAACTACATGAGCTCTTTCAGCAACTATATCACGGCACTTCCCAACTGCCAATCTATAGACTGATACTTGAAGTTTTCAGTGATCTAGAGTAAATGAGAAAAGAAGAGAGTAATAATTCTTCCATCGACTTAAATTTTTTCAGGTTAAATAACTTTTATTCTGAGTTTATGTCCTTCCTAAATATTGGGGAGAGAGGAAGGTGTAAGTGATGTTAACAGAAGTCTTTACATGGCAAAAACAAAGTCTCATATTTTACAATCTCTCTTAAATTATTGGTCTAGTGTCTTAAAATACTCAAGTAAAAAGGTTCATCTGATCCATTCTTTTTTTTTTTAATCTATTCTTTACTACCATCTAGGTAATCAAGTGCTTAGAAAAATTTATATAACTTGCAACAACCAACCACAAATCCCACAAGTGACAATTTATGGCAGCTAAGCAAACCTCCAGTGGGTTCCAGCAAAGAAAAGGGCTTCAAAGTGTTTACAACATGAGTTCCTAAGAGTTTCTATCTTCCCTACCCACTTCCCACTTACCTTTATAATTCTAAACAACATTAGCAAACTAACCTACATCAAATTAACCATTTGTTGTAGTTTAAATTACTAGCCAATAATTTGAACTACAAGTGAACTACACCATCTAGGACAGGGGACATCAAACTACCAGCCAGGGATCAAATCCAGCTCAGTGTCTTTTGGGTTTAGTGGAACACATGGTCTATGGCTGCTTTTGTATTACAATTACAAAGGCAATTAAATAAAACAGAGATCGTTTGGCCTGCAAAACCAAAATATTTACTATGTGAACCTTTACCAAAAGCATTTGCCAACCTCTACTCTAGGGTAATGAACTATTTGCTACCAAAGAAAATTTTTGAGATTTACACCCATAACCATTAATCAACTCCGGATGCCTGTACCACCCATATTTTAAAAATATCTAAATATAAACACTGGACTATCTGAATAGTCCTTTATTCTACTCTGTATAAAGACTGTTGCCCACCTAACATGAAGAATTTACTTACCTGCTCACTGAGCTAATCTTTAACATACATTTCTCAAGAACTCACTAGTGAAATAGTGAAGAATCCATGAATACACTGCTCTGTGTAATCTAAGGTTTTAAAAAAAAAAGTTGCAAATAACTCGAAGTAAAAAATAAAGAAAAAACTATATAAAACTACATAATAATATCCTTTACATTTTAGATTTCAAATATAAAACACTGCTAAAGGCACTTAAAGTAGAAAAGCTTAAGTTCAACAATTTAGGTAATATTAACCACATTAAATAATACACATTAATTTTCCTTCTCTATTAAAAATGACTTTCAATTTCATGTATGTAGAGTTAGAAAGAAAAGAATAATACTTCTAATATAATTCAATCATATAGCTTTAAATATATGTGACACCAGAATCTCTAAAGAGTAAAATCATAACATTAAAGAACTTTGAAACTGCAAAGTGCTTAAGAGATCACCTCCATGTTTTACAGGTGAGAATGTTTTGATACAACATGAAATATCTATAGTGAGAGAATTAATTAGTAGCAGAGGCAGAACTAGAACCCAACACTCAACTATCAGTTTGGGACTCTTTCTAATTAATGACAGCATGAAAGACATGCTCATATCTAGGAAAGGGATGATGTTAAAATATTCTAGAGTTTTAAATGTACAGTAAACATACTAATAAGGCTACTACCCACTCAACCTAGCAACCCTCTAGTGTTTTTTTATTAAACAATCAACTATAACATTACAGAAGGAAAAAACTGCTTCATTGTAAAGCCATTCATTAGTTAGAATGATCAAAAGAACAAATATTTGCTTAACAAACTGTCAAAGATTTAAAAAATAAAAATCAATAGTTGAGCAGTATTGAGTACTCCTATATTGCTAATTTGGCACAAATTTTCTGAAGAGTAATTTGGTCATATTTTAAAGAGCCTAAAAAGTTCTCAGCATCTAAACCAATTATTCCATTTCCATGAATATACCCTAAAGAACTAGACAAATAGAGTTCAAATTTCACATACAAAGATGTCCATCTGTTATTATTTATAATTTTGAAATATTAGAAACAATCTAATATCCAAAGAGAGAATGGGTTCAATTATGGTATATTCATTAACAGAATATTAGGCAGTCATTTTTAAAAATTACATTTTCAAAGATATGGGGAAGGACTTATGATCTTAAGTTATAAAAGTAGGATACAACTATATGGTCAGTATAATCTCAATATTGTTATTATGCACACACACAATCACATGTACACACTCATACATATAAATAGCATAGACAAAGACTAAAAGAAAATACAAAAAATTTTAACAGTATTATCTCTGGATAGTGAAATTGCAGACAATTTTTTCTCTTCTTTATACTGTTCAGTATTTTCTAAATTTTCCATAATAGTCATGTATTAGTTTTATACTCAGAAAATATTAAAAATTCATTCCATAGTCAATTTTAAAATTTTACATTCTATATAGTAAATAAGGAATATTTATAGCACTTAAAATTGTATATAAATGATGGGAAATAAATCAGTAATATGTTAGAGTATAATTTCCACACATGTTTAGGTGGGTAAATTTGAATCCAAAAGCAGCATTATTTTATCTCAATTTTTGTGTATAGAAAGTTGATATTTAGTAAATAAGAAATGCAATTTTTAAATAAAATTGGTGCAAGGCATCTAAAAATTGTGCTATTCTGGTTAACATTGAAGATATAAATGTTCTCCAATGTAATGAAGATACCCACTGTTAGATTAAAATAGGTATAATCTAGTACATGCATGGTGACCAATAATTAACTAACTGAATTACATTTTTCCCAATGTGACTAGAATTGATCTATGCTAAAGAAAGAAATACAACACCATACCATTATTTTAGTTGGAAGAGCCGCACCAAAAGTCATGAAAAAATATTTTAGAACTATAAAAAAATCCAGTGGCTTTTTGTTGTTATTGTTAATGATGTCTTGCTAAAAATTCAAGTCAAAGTGCTTAAAGCACTAAAAAAGCATAGTAGCAGTCTCTGGTCTGCAATAATTTGAAAAACTCTACGAACACTCTTCGATGTTTCCTCATTTGCAGACTACTGCCTATCAAACACTATCTTTGGAGGAAAGGACTACATCTGTTCTTTTATCAATCTTGACTATACAATATAGTAATGACATAAAGTGATGTCACACACACAAAAAGAAACTGTAATTTAAAAAGCTAACTTTAAAATATGATTCTAATATCTGTGATAAAAAAAATCACATATATATGCAAAATATAAAATACATCCTAACATTTTTATATAAGAACTGAAGTTTACCACTTTAACATAAAAATTGAGATGAATATAAAACAATTTTCATATATACCACAGAGCAATAAGTTTAAATCAGACTATTTTGAGTTGTGTAGCCCTTTATTAGCAACTAAAATAGAAGGTATCTGTTGTACAACACGGGTAGTAATTGACTATAACTGGAGAATTATTATATTCTAATACAGATCATTTATAAATGCAATTTCTTTATTAAAAAGCTTCCACCTTTTTTTGTCTGTGTACAATTTGCAAAACTATTCTGAAAGCGGAATATATGTGCACAAGTCTGCAAAGAGTGCAAATTTAGGATATGGTAAATGCTTTACACGTTACTTTCAAAACACTGCCACAACTGGCCCATTATATTGCCATCTTCTTTGATCCAAATATTTGATGCCAGCCTTCCTTCCACTGCCCTAAACTATAAAGCATTTTTTAATGAGTTGAAATTAAGGAAGGACTACACCTACTAGAAAAGAAGAGAAGAAAGTTCTATTAGTTTGAGGTTTCAGAGTCCCCCGAAACCAGGATCTGGATCTTGGTAAGGGCTAGGCTGGGACCCCGAACAGAGTATGAGTATGTGCAGGTAGCATCCCTGAGGAGTCAGAGCGTCAGTGGACCGTGAGTGCTCCAGCAGCGTAACTCACTGAACTGTCTTGCCAGTTTCTGCACTGGCTTGACTGAGCATAATTCAAAAAGGAAAAGCTCATATTCATTCCATTCTTCTGGAGCTCTGTGATAGCCTGAAAAAAGAAAGATGCGATCAGCACTCTTTGAACGCACTGGTGGCTTAACTTTGCCCACTTCACAGCTGGAGCCTAGACCTCTTTTAGTCGTCACTTGTTTCTTGAATTTCTCTTCACCTCATGTTAAATAGGAATGAATCTAATTCCTTACGTAATTCTATCAAAGTACTTCTCCTAGGTAAATATCTTCTAGGTAAATATCAGTCACCTTCCACCCCTACCTCTCCTTGTATTTAATAAGACCACTTAAAAACAAAAACAAATTAATTCATAGCATCTTTCTCTCTTTTCTCTAAACCAAATCTTAGCTACTTCTACTATCTTGAATTGTTGCAATCTTTTCTTTGTCTGAGGTTAAAATGTATATAAATTAAGGTTAAAATGTATATAAATTTTCAAGAGGTATACCAGGATTTTTAATTGAGCCTATTATTACTTCTTCCTCCTCCTGTTCCTGTGTATACACTCCCTTCTTTCTTAAAAAGTCTTGCATTTTCTTTCAGAAAATCTATTGTATTATCTAGTTAGGGAAAATATTAATGTTATACTTTCAAAATTCCAGCTAACCAAGACTTCTGGTGCTCACTTCAACAGCCCATATACTAAAATTGGAACAATACAGAGCAGATTAGCATGGTCCCTTAGCAAGGATGATACACAAATTCATGAAACATTCCTTTTTTTTTTTTTTTAAAGACTTCTGCCTAAATGAATTATATTTGTAGTAATTCTTGTAAAGAGAAAAATATACACATGTCATCTGTCTTGTTTTATTAACTTACACATTTCTAAAGTTCAAGAACAAAATCTTCTATTTATTTTTATAGAGTCTAGGACACTAAATAAAGCCAAGAAATCAATAAGAACATTTCTTGAAAGGTTACTTTGGTTTATATTTATAAAAAGCATACTAGAATTGGCTGAGAACCTAGAGAAAACGGTCTGTATTCTAAATAACTTTCTGCATTTAAAAGTATCAGCCTGTCTTCCAGTGACATATAACTTTATTCAGGTAACTAAAACAATGGAAATCCAAATTATCTTAAATGTACTAAAAGAAAATTGACTGTATGTACCTAAAACCAATGCTGATAAGTTACCTTAAGAATTTAAGATATTTTAAAACATCACAGGATCAAATATTAAAAATCAAGGCTTCTTAAGGATACTCACATTTAATAACACTCCTATGGGATGTCTTCCACATATAGTATTATGGTATTTCTTCAAGTAATTACTAAAAGATACAGGGTCTAATTGTTCTATAATACTCATACCCTAAAAATAAGTGAGGGTGGGGGGAGAGAAGAGAAAAAGAAAATAAAAGAAAAAGGAAAAAATGACACTATTATTTCCTAGTTACATTTAAAAACTGTTACTAGAGCTAAACACTGTAATTTTTTAACTAAGAAGTAAATAGAATACATTAAATATACCTTGTAAAATACCAAACTCATTTGTTCAAAACTAATCTCATAGTAAACTCTCAATAATACATACACTTTATTAATAGAAAACATTTAGTTTTCTCTGGTCTCCTCATGATTTTACACCACCTTCACCAGTTGCTATTTAGCCAATAATCGTCAAGCATTTCATAATTTTATATCTTTATATATTTTTAAAGTAAGTCTATTGTGAAAATTTTCATAACATTAAATTTGACATATACCTGTTTTTCTCAATATCTGCTATATTTCTCCTACCATTGGCATAATCAAGAATTGATTGTAATTTAACTATTTCATAACTTAACTTAAAGACATTTTAAGTCATCAATATTCTGGGTATGTGATAAAGAAGGTACTAGAAACTAAAAAAAATAACAAATATATATCTATATCTATATATATATATAGTTTGCATATTTTTAATTTAAAATGCATAAAAGATTAATAAAAAGTTACCAAAATAGGTAATTTATGAACAAATTTTTAAAAAGAAAAGCTTTTTATTTCTTTAATACTTTAAATTGGGATGCTTTATTTTCAAGATTTTTGTTCAGAATCAGTGTTTACACTACTATTAGAACAATCACTATAACTCAGATGCTTGCTTACACTAAATCCCATATTCTGCAAATGCATTCAAATAATGTGTTCATAATACATTAATATATAAGGGCAACTTTAACTCATCTGAGTTGGGCAAATAAATTAATGATTCTAGCCGAAGCTGGTTTGGCTCAGTGGATAGAGCGTCGGCCTGCGGACTGAGGGGTCTCAGGTTCGATTCCAGTCCCTTGGTTGCGGGCACATCCCCACTGGGGGGGGAGGGTGTGTGCAAGAGGCAGCTGATTGATGATTCTCTCTCATTGATGTTTCTAACTCTTTATCCCTCTCCCTCTCTGTAAAAAATCAATTAAAAAATATATTTAAAAAAATTAATGATTCTAACTCATTCATTCAGCAATTACCTTACCTTGTTTTCTTATTCTGGTAAAACACATTTGAGTTCAATAAACTGGATTAATATCCTCCAAGAGAAATGTAAATGGTAGTTTAACTAGGGAATTAACTAATATATTTTGTGTGGTTTTAAAATTATATTTCAACATGTTTCAACAAAACAAGTAATGTGTAAAAAGCAGCTGGAATAATCAGATGAATAGTCATCTGAAAAATGATAGTAATCATAGATGATATACAAATATTGCAGTGGCAGCACCAAAATTTAATTAATAAAGAGTCTTTTTACATAATATTTAAGTCCTTCATAAGCATTATTACATTCTGCTGCAACTATAGCTAAAAGACAGGAACATGCATATATAATCAACTTTCAATTGTTTGCATATCAATTAGCCATTCTCAGACTTATCCACAACCAGTGCTTAATGCTAAGCTGGTTTTCCCCTGCCAACTACAAGGCTTCCACATCAACAGTCTCCACTGACTTTGGTGCAAGCTCAGAGACAGATGAACTACCTTAGAAGTTAAGATAAACAATTAGTATTATAATTCTAGTGCAAAAAAAAAAAAAAAAAGCACACAATATATTTCTAAACCAGAAAGAGATGAAGTAACAAATCTTTTCCAAAAATACAGATAATCAAGATAACTCCCTAAAGATGATGAAACAAACATGAACAAGGTTAAAAGCTTGCCTCTAACTTTCTAATCCTAAGCTTTTTCTTACTGACTACTCTGCCTTACCTCATATAAAAGACATACCAACAATTCTTCAAATAATATCTTTAAATCATATGGTATACATTGTTGCATGAGAATTTTAATGCTCTTGGATGAAGTCTAGGACAGCTTACCTTAAACAGAATTCCAATCATTAATACAATAAATTACATGCTATTGAGGTTCCAATGTATGTTTTAATATTAAAATCTCAAAACACATTTTTGAACAAATGTATGAAATGTATATATTGACATAAGGAATTCAAAGAGAAGGAAAATAATGACCCCACTTTAGAAGAAAAGAATTCAGTGAAACTGACCAAGAAATTTCATATAGAAAGATATAAAATTATAAATGTAGAAGATGCTACTAAATAAAATGTTCAAAATGAAGATACTGGTTAAATTACAATAATAAAAGACTGTGATGATGGAATATAAGGAATTAAATTTAAATATTTTAATTCCCCAAAATGTGTTATGTATATAGTAGGGCAAGAATCAATTTCATTACACTTAATTCTCTGATGAATCTAATAGTTAAAATGTACGTCTTTTAATAAAAGAGGGACAGAGAGAAAAGTTAAGACTTTACAATAGAAAAATTCATGAAATATACAAACAACAGCAAAATGATAAAATTGCAAAATGGTATATCCATTAACTAATACAGAACAAACTGGCATATGTATATGTTTATGGTTTGATGCTAACAATTTTGAAATTACTATTTCCAAAATTCCAGACGATGAAAAAATGCTTCTCAAATATGCCTAATTAACTTTATCATTTCTTAAAATCCTTGAAGATATGATTAGTGAAATTAAGGTTCAGGTGATGGAAAGTTTGCCTATAGCCTAGTATACTGAGTATTTGTTCACATGAATTGAATCTAATATAGAGCAGTGAAGTGAGTCACTACCCATTCAGCTCGAAGATACAAATCAGATATTATAAACATCAAAAGTCTATCTATCAAGACTGGATTTCTGAGGAATTTAGTAGCTTCAGCAAGAAATCCTCAGATTGAAAGCCAACTCTCTACTGTGAGGGAGAGAAGAGCAAAGGGAGAGAAGAGCATCATTGGCCTCACCCTCCCAGTAAAGGATGAAAGCTTGCAATCCAATCCCAATGGCAGTCCTAAACTAAACAGGCAGTTTTAACTGACAGAACTGCAGATTCAGGACTCTGGTGAAATAACAAAAACTCCCCTTTTAAAAAAGTTTACTATATAAAATAAAATACTTAAATTCTATTTAATTATTATCTCCCAGAAGTAATCTCCCTCTAAAATAATGAATACAAAAAAGAATAGCTAAACTTTTTAGGTCATAAAGAAATTAATATTAGAGTCACGTCTTCTAATTATGAACACATAATTAATCATATCAAATCATTTGGACTCTATTTAAGTGACTTTATACATTTATGTTGGAAAGATGAGTACAGATTTAGGAAGGTAAGATGAGAACAGAAAATATTCTGTTTTCTGTAAGAGGCATCAAGATAAAATCGTATAGCAAAAAAAAATTTATGGGGAAAAAACATCACCCTAAAGATCGTTGTGTTAAGAAGCAATGTACTACCTTAAAGATGATATATAGCTATCTTAAATCATTATCTTAAATAGCTAGCTATCTTAAAAATGATGTTTTACAACTGCTAAAGACTACTAAAGAAACTATCGGTCTAAGTCAAGAAAAAGATATGAGTACACTAATATGAATAATTTCACTTTTAAAAGAGTAAGAGGAAAGGAAGAAAAGTAGCTGAAGTTAAAAGAAAATGAAGTGATTACTAATAAATGTGGAAGGAGTTGTAAGAATGACTACCATGGCATTTTCAGATTCTCACTGCCAAATCATAAGTAATTTGCCAATGTCCATATTGAAACATTGGTCTACATCAAAAGTGGTACAGAAAAAAAATAATCATGTAAAGTATGTATTAAGTATGGCTAATGTTTCAGGTGTGTGATCTAAGAAGTTAACAAAAACCAGTGTCTTAAAACATGTTCTGCTTTGGTCATTGTAATTCTTGAAATTACAAAGTACTAATTACCAAAAAACCATGTAGCTAATAATATTATGACTTTCAGAATCTATATCTTATAACCAGTTACCTTGCTCCCTCAAATACAACATTTGGAAGATCCACTTTTTTGTATATATTTTTAATGTATGTATTTTTACACATAATTAATTTCCAAGATACTCAAAATGCTAGAGATATAAACATTTTGTAATAAAAACAGCTATTTTTCTTTTGCTTTGGAACCTAGAACCTCCTTCGTTGGTTTCCTCGCTTTTTAATAACTACATTTAACAGGGCTTTTCTGGTAATCAAAAGGACCAAAACTAGTTAACACACAAATTTTAAACATGTTAAATCTAAAATTTTATACTTAAAAATAATTTCTCTACACTCTATCAAACTTTCAAAATGTAAAATTATTTTTAATTCAAAATTAGTAACATTTATCTAATACTTACAAAGAGAACCACCAATTTCACTGTATTTGTTTTGAAAAGACTGAATATGGAAACTAAGATATTGGTTCTCAAATAAATGAGATTGCTTATAACACAATGATACTTGAAGAAAGAAATATACAGAGGGATATTCATCATTTAGCTATATAAATCAATTAAGAAAACACTATATTATAAGAAAGTCTGCCTAACAGTGAGAGTACATATGCACATATATGTATAAAAACATACATACATGAGTATACAAACAGAGCTAAACCATTCTTATTACTTTAATCCATTTATTTTAACTCCCAGAACTAATTTATAACTTGAATTAACAGCTTGCTAATATAAGAAGAGAACACTTGCCGAAACCGGTTTGGCTCAATGGATAGAGCATCGGCTTGGGGACTGAAGGGACCCAAGTTTGATTCTGGTCAAGGGCATGTACCTTGGTTGCGGGCATATCCCCAGTAGGGGGTGTGCAAGAGGCAGCCGATCGATGACTCTCTCTCATCGATGTTTCTGACTATCTCTCCCTTCCTCTCTGTACAAAATCAATAAAAAATATATTAAAAAAAAAAAAAAGAACAGAACACTTATGAGCCATTTAAAAATCTATACATAAATAGAAATGCTTCAATAAATAGACCACAAAAGTCAACTCCAAGTCAAATGTTATAACAAATATTAAAATCAATCATATTAATATGAAGCAGATACTCAATGTTTATTCAGAAGTGATATTCCGGGCTATTTAAATAAAATTTTTTAAATGATGCTTCTTTGGACATCTAAATTAAGTAAGTCAGATGCAGATTTAAAAGTCACCTAAAGCTCACTGGTTCTACTTATACTTTTGAAGTTTCAAAGACTTTGAAGCTAGCATAAAAGAACAATTTCAGGAAAAGTATGATAATCATGGAAGTGGGTAAATGATACTTGTTTTTGTTCTCCCTCATAGCAAGAAACCAAGGTCTATTTAACTGATCAATTTGTCTCGAGACAAATTAAGCTAGCATTCTTAATATAAACTAACAACAGTTAGTAGAAAGGTTAAAAGAATTAAAATATGGGTGTTTATATATAACACAAATACAGAATAACAAAGACTATTAAAGTACTTAGATAAGAACACAGTTCTAGAGAATTCCAAAGGATGTTGTTATGTTTACTCACTTGAGAGCAACAGGTAAGCCAATGTTTTGGGGAAAACATTTTCCATATGCTAAACATCATTCACTGATTTGCAAATCCTTACATTTGCAAAATTAAATGTTGCCTGATTAAAGTTCACAATATAAAGAGAAAAGAAACGGAGAAAACTTCAACAGATCAAGAACCATAGTGGGCCAGTTCAAATTTACCTACAAAGCTGTTTTAGGAATAAAGATGTTGTGACTCTATACTACCAAAAGAGATCTCCAGGGACAGGTACAGGCAAGTCTATTTTCAAAAAGTTCCACAGATTATTTCAATTGTAAAACCAGAGTTGATAACTACTACTGTAGACAATCTCATCCTTGTCCTGGCTTTAATTTAATTACTATCTACCATCTCTCCCTAACTACCTATCAACCCCCACTGTTATTGCTCCTGACCCTGGTGTAGAAACCATTTTCTACAACAGCCAGAATAACCTTTAAAATAATGTGATTTAACTCACCTCTCTTCCCACTGCACTTACAGAAACTTCTTATCCTGGAATATAAAGCCCTGCACGATCTGACCACTGCCTCTCTCATCAAAGCTCGGACCATTCCTACTGACCTACTGTACTGCTGCAACACTGGCCTTTTGTCTTTTCTCCGCACACACCAGCATCTTTCCCAGTGTAAGGTCTCTGCACTGGCAGTTCCTTCCATGGAGGTCTTTCCTCTGATCATTACTTGGTTTGTTCCTCCTTATCAATTATATTTCAGTTTAATGTTCCTCCTAAAGAAAGTCTTTCTCCAATCAGCCTAGAATCATTTGTTATCTCAAAACCATTTAAATATTTTCTGAATAGCACCTATCACTATTGAAAACTAATTTACACACATTCTTACCATTTTTAAAATTATTATTATTATTATTATTATTATTATTATTATTATTTTGTTAATCCTCTCCAGAGGATATTTTTTCCATTGCTTTTTCAGAGTAGAAGGGAAGGAAGCAGAGGAGAGACAGAGAGAGAGAGAGACAGAGAGAGAGAGAGAGAGAGAGAGAGAGACAGACAGACAGACAGACAGACAGACAGACAGACATTGATGTGAGAGACACAGCAACTGGTTGTCTCCCACATGTGCCCTGACCAGGGGTTGGGGATTGAACCCGAAACCTAGGTACATGCCATTAACTGAGAATCAAACCTATATCCTTACCTTTCAGTCCACACCCAATGCTCTAAACACGGGACGGACCATCCTTACCTTTTTAAAAATAATGTGTACCTCCCGCCCATTAGAATAAAATTTCTGTGAGATCAAGTCTGCTTGCTTACTGCCATAGCTCCACAAGTGCCTACACTGTAAATACACTCCATAATAACTGGCCAGATGAAAATCCAAATGCCTTCTTGACTGACATTTCCACTTGAATGTCTTAAAGGCAACTGCATATATCCTCTAATAGAATTTACGATCTCCACATCTCCTTAAATATCTGGACCTATGAGTTTATGTTTCTGACCTAAATGCATAGCAATATCCCACCACAGTATCATAAACCAGATATTTAGGTGCCATTTTTGATACTTCCTTTTCCAAGTCCTATTGTAAATTTATCTTTTATATATACTGAATACATCTACTTTACCCCCCTCTCTTCCAACATCACTAACCCATCTAATGTCTAAATAACCATTTCTCACCTGAATTACCCAACTAATCTACTCAATTTCTCCTCTGGCATCCCTCTAATCCATTTGTTTCACTGCATCTATATGATCTACTCAAATACAATCTGATTTTTATCACTTTCCTACTTAATATTCTTTTAAACAGTCTGTTCTAGATTCTCTGGCTTCATTTCTCACCACTCCCCCAGCCAATCATCCATCAATTCATTCAACAAATATAGACTTAGTACCCAGTGTCAGGCTGATACAAAATGGACAAAGATCCTGATTTCATGAAACTTATAATCCAATAGGGGAGTTTATCGCCAAAAAAATCAACAAATACTAAGTTATAATCGCATAGTAGTAAGTACTAAAATGAAGAATAAAGCAGGGTAAACTCATAAAATAATTGTTCACCATACAGCATAATAAAAAACTGTGGACACAGTTTTGGGTTGTGTCAATAATGAGAAGATGCTACTGGGTAGAGTCCAGGGATGCTGACTGTCCTGCAATCCAAGACAGTCCCACACACAAAGTGCTGTTCTCAACCCATGACACTTTCCCATGTCCATGTAGGTGAAAACCTGCTTATAATTATCTACATCCTAAGTTTATTTTACATACAAAAACAAAAAAGTTTCATGTGATTTTAATATACAGATTTCCCAGGAATGGAACTATCTTATAAAGTGAGGGAAGACTATATACTTTGTTTAGTTTACAACTTTACTAAGTTTGCATTTTTAGTTGTCCCATTAATGATACTATATGGGTAAGCACCTAAATCCTTCAGTATGTCTATGTTAGTAAGTGTATAGGACACAAAATTAAAAAGGGTGGCCACTAGTCCTCATCTGGGAAGGTGAAAGCTGAGCAAAGCCCTGAGATAAATTAGACAGTCTAGTGCAAAAAGTGCAAAGGTCTTAAGTTAGGCACATATATGGCATTACTGAGGAATATTAAGGAGACCAGTGTGTCCACACTCCCTCCTAAATATCTCTTATACTTCTGTATTGTAATAACTTCTTTTTAAGTCTGTTCAAAGACTAGACTACAAATTCCATGACATTAAGAGGAGAGACCATGTTTTCTCCTCTTAACATCATCAAGGCTACACAGAGTACCAGATACATAGCAGATACCTACTAGCCATTTGCTGTATAAAGAAAATAAGTGATGAGGCAACTGATACTTGAAGCTCAGAAAAATAAGATTAGAATTAGAAGCCAGAAAAGAATTAAATGATTGAAATGACAACATAATAAAGTCAGAAGTAAACTGAATCTAGACAAATACCAAAGGTAAAAGTATTAAGCTATAATTGTATTTAAAGTAACAAAATAAATTTAAATATAATAAAAATCTCGTAAGCAACTAAATTTGCATTTTTTCCATCTGGCTTTTAATAAAATATACTATGCAATATAATCTACTTGTAGGCTCAGATCCAGATTTCTTACTAAGATGTTTGATCTACTATAGACTAAGTATTCTTGTACTAAAACGTATGCTTAAAGCTACTAACACAGTGGTAAAGTTGATTTTAACAAATCAGACTTAAAGGCTGATAGAGTGTAAAGACAATTTAGAGACTACCTACTCCAAGTATCTCATCTCAGAGATACCAAGTTGAGAACTAAAGAATTGAAAGGATCTGTCAAAGTTCCTAGCAAGTTAGTAATATACCTACTAGGTTTAATATTCTGTTATGAGTAGATAGCAAAATGATTTATATGACTTTTTAAACATTAAAAAAAGTACTATGACTCCCACAGTACTTCAAGGAAAATGACAAGATCAATGTCTACTGTATTTCTGGACTAGGTAAAAATAAAATCGTTTTTAATTCTATATTTAAAATAACAGCCAGCTGGAGCATCGATCCATGAACCAGAAGGTCACAGTTCAATTCCTGGACAGGGTACATGCCGGGGTTACAGGCTCAATCCTCAATGTGCAGAAGGCTGCCAATCAATGATTCTCTCTCATCATTGATGCTTTTATCTGTTTCTCCCTCTCCTTCTCCCTTCCTTTCTCTAAAATCAATAAAAACATATTTTTAAAAATTAAAAAAAAATTGAAATTCCATTTAAGAAAAATCTAAATGGCGAAAAATAGAATCAATATATATAAAAGCCAAGCAACCAGAATGCCAGAACTGGAACCAGTTGCTTTGATGCGAACTGCGGCCCCGATCAGTCCCCCTCCCACCCTAATCAGGGGCAGGGCCAGCTGGCCAACTGCCTACAGCCCTTCCCCACAGCTGGCCGCAGTCCCTCCCCCACTCCACCCCAGCCAGCCCCACCCTTGATCCCCACCCCCACCCCAAACAAGGGCAGGGCCAGATGGCCAAACTCCCACTGGCCAGCCCAGTCCCAATAGGCCTCAATCAAGGCTGGCAAGTAAGACCCCACCTGTGCATGAATTCGTGCACTGGGCCTCTAGTTAAATAATTTTTAAAAATTAAGAATTTGCTCTGGTTGTTTCCATTTAACAGTAAGTATTATCATTAGTTCCCTGTTTCCCTAAAACTAAAACATTCCCCCAAATAATATCAAAAATCTATATCTAATTATTCTTAAGTCGTCTTATTAATCAAATAAAATTAAGATGAAGAAAATTTCCACTAATAGAACAAGGATTTTTTTATAATCAATATTGATATGATTACATACTATATTTTGCACACTTAAAGAATTATTATCCCATTGTTTCAACATATTAAGTCCTAAATCACTAATCTGAAATTAATTAAAGAAAAAAATCTTAGAGCATTAAAACCCCACACCTGAAAGACTTACCATTTTATCTAGATGTTCAATGGATCTATAAATCTCCCCCTGGGATTCATCATAGTAACTGTAACGGAACCTTTGACCTTGAAACAAATATCATGTACAAAATAAAATAGGGAAAAATTAGAAGCTAAAAAGAATGCAATCGCTTACCAAATAATTTCAGTTCTCAAGGAAGGCAAAGCACAGCTTAAGCCTTTGAGAGAATCATTCCCAAGAGCCCTTGGTATATAAAAATAAAAGGCATATTTGGGAAGATAATAAAGAAATTATATATCACCAGTGTTTTATAATGTTAAAACTATTTCAAATTGTAAAACCTTATAGTCACGAACAATACAAAAGACTAAGGAAACAAAACAGCTTAAAAGTTAGAAGCATTGTTAAGTATATTATATCAGTCTATAATGGAAAGTAAACCCAAAGAATACGATGCAAGAAATTTTGGTTTAAGAAAACTCTCAATGTAACAAGTGGATGAAGGCTTAGCTTTTGCTGTACAAATGCAAAGATTTGATCTTTATTATGGGGGGAAAAATAAAGTGTAGATCAGAGATACATGTGGTTTGTGTGATTTTTATTACCTCAAAAACTTTTATCTCATTTTCACAAAACTTTCTACTTGGAAAAGGATCAATACAAGCGCCTTAAAATAGAATTCACAACAGAACAGTCCTAATCTGACAATAAAATCTCAATAAGGGTCCAAGCACAGAACAATTGATGGTTAGCCATTCTCCAGAAGGTAAAATGGAAGAAGCTCAAAAAGAAGAGAGGAAACAAAAGACTCTGCTTCCTACTAAAGTCAGAAGAAAACCTAAAACAATGTGTTCTAAACCCACATAATTGTAGAGTATTATTATACTGATTACATTGCATCTAAATCTTTCTTTCAACAACTCTCTTATTTTCAAGAACTCATTACTTTTCTCCTTATTTTAAAGGATGTACCAAAATGCATTTGGGAAGGTATCACAGCACAGCAATCATGTATGCACACATTATGTGTCTTGTGCTTCATTTTTCAGATTAAGTTCACATATCTAATTATTATTCTCATGCCTGAGTAGATTTCTTAGACTGGATAATTAAGATTTTAAGTTTTCTGCTTATCTTGCTAAAAAAAAAAAAAAAATCATGTTATAAATAATGAGCAGTGCAAAATTATAAAACCTTTTTGATGTCTTATTTTGGAAAACCAGACATCATGTTTCTTAAAACTTAATTTACTTGATGCTGATCATCTTTAATGGTCACTTCTCTACACTATATATATTTCCTTAACTGTAACATTTTAACTTTTCATAATACTGTGTACAAGTATTCAATGTGGCAATTTATTTTTCCCCAAGAGCCTTCATTATTCAATCAATATTGCATCTTACATGATATCCTAGAATCAAACAATAGGTTCTGAGACAGTTGTCTGCTTTCTGAATATAAAAACCTTATTTGTAAATTGAGATCCACTATAGACCTTGCCCTGAAAAAAAATTCTTAGACTGTTATGGTTCATCACTCAATACTCCTATATTAAAATATTTCATCAAACATTTCTATCAAAATTTGGAAGTATAGTTTTTTTTGTCTTTAAAAAATTTATGTATTTTCTTCTACCTAATAATAAAAACTATATAATTTACCCTATTTTTTTCTCTTTGCCAGGGACTGTCAGAAGGTTCAAAGACAAATCTACAATCTGTTATAATAATTTATTGATTCAAATCAGAGGTATTAAACATCCACTTCAATTTCAAGTTCTTTTGACAAAGCTGCCTAAAATCTTTGAGTGAACAATTAAATGAATAATCTTACACAAGGAAAGAACAAGGAAATTCTGACTCAAAATCACTATAGTAATATCCTTGTAAGAAATCAAGATGAATATTCTTTGAAGCTGAATGCATTCTTTTTTCTTGCTTCTGGAGATAGCTACTAGTTTTAGCAGCCAATAATTCCTGTGACCAGGACATAACTGAAGACCAGAGAAAAGTTCACAGACTTTGTGACTGCCATTTGCTATTCAGAAGTCTGATTTGCTTATTTCCCAGTTCAGAGAAACTGTTTCTAATATTAGAAGGTGGCCCAACTTGCCTTAAACCTAAGTGAAAAGTACAACTATATTTTAAAATACTGTCATGTCCATTTTATCATCCTAAAGGTAAGTTTCACTTAAAAACTTCTTCTGAAGGAGCAGTATATAAAATGTTTGAAACTTTAAGTGCTCGCTTCGGCAGCACGTATACTAAAATGTTTGAAACTTTAAAGTCCTAAATCAACATATAATAAGACAAAATAGAAAATCAATGAGTCAATGTTTAATATTTGCTATCCAATTTTTGCTACTCTTTAGTAGCCACCTTGCATTTAGTAGTTGAAGAACTGATTAGAAATACTTGATAAGTTCTAAAGAATCTATTTGTTAAGAAGCTAAATCCAGCCAAAACCGGTTTGGCTCAGTGGTAGAGCATCCGTCTGCGGGCTGAAAGGTCCCGGGTTCGATTCCGGTCAGGGGCATGTACGTTGGTTGCGGGCACATCCCCGGTAGGGGGTGTGCAAGAGGCAGCTGGTCGATGTTTCTCTCTCATCAACGTTTCTAGCTCTCTATCTTTCTCCCTTCCTCTCTGTAAAAAATCAATAAAATATATTAAAAAAAAAAAAAAAAGAAGAAGCTAAATCCACACTACATATAGTTACTATATTGAAAAACTCTTATTTATGACAGTTCAAACTATCTCATAATAATTTTTTTAACACGTTAAGCACCAAACCTGGTTTGACTTCCTTTCAATTTCAGTCACTTGTGAACTGACATGGTGCTTAACGTGTTAAATTCTATAAATATTTAAAAATTATTTCAGCCAAAACCGGTTTGGCTCAGTGGACAGAGTGTCAGTCTGCGGACTGAAAGAACCCAGGTTCAATTCCGGTCAAGGGCACGTACATTGGTTGCGGGCACATCCCCGGTGGGGGGTGTGCAGGAGGCAGCTGGTCGATGTTTCTCTCTCATCCCTCTCCTTTCCTCACTGTAAAAAAATCAATAAAATATATATATTTTAAATTATTTCAGCAATTCATTCTGATCAATATACATACAGACGGCATATCATTTAAAGTAAATAACTGGCCCTGGTCAGTGTGGCTTAGTTGGTTGAGCACTATTCCATGCACTGAGATGTCCCTGGTTCCATTCCCAATCAGAGCACATGCCCATTAAGGGGCATGCAGAAGGCAGCTGATCCATGTTTCTCTCTCTCCTTCTCCCTTCCTCTTTCTCTAAAATCAATAAAAACATTAAAAACATAAAATAAAGTAACTGCCATTATCCTAGCCTAGATATATGTGTATGAGTGTGTGTGCGCGCACGCATATGTGTATGTATGAGCATGCACGTACTAATATACACTCAATTTTAGTTAAACATCTCTTGGAATTTGAGTTCAAAAGGTATTTTTTGTTTCTAATTATTAAAAAATAAGTGTATCAAGATTGTGTTTAATAAGAAGTAATACAATGCAACACTAGCACAATACCCTGATCATAAATGTATCTTTAATTAAATGTTTATTGTTGACTTATACTACATTATTATTTCATGTAGATACCTCATGAGCAGACATAGTTTGTTTTTACAATTCTACTAACAATCAATAAAGCTTATCTCCCTAAACTGTACAAATTCAGATACCTATCCACCTGGAGAACTGGACTTGTGTACTTTTATAAGTATGAATAAAGCATATTACATAGTAAGAGAAAATTACTTACCTGAAACTTATCCTTTCAGAAGGTACACTGGGAAAATGGATTCTTTGAGCCCCCGTTTCAACTCCAAGTATGAGCTTTGTAGCTTTAAGAGCCACTGGCACTGCCCCTAGGACAGCACAAGCTTTGCAACTCCCCTAGTGAGTATGTCAGTAGTTTCTTCAGGTGCCTTCCCTCAGTTCTTTTCAAATTCAAAAGATGAGAGAAAAAAATAACCCAAGAAAAAAATCCTGTAAAGCAGAAACCTTACTCTTTGAGAGAAGGAGGGTAGCTCATTTGTGAATCCATTCCAGAGCACGCTTTCTGAGAAAAAGAAATACAGGTAAGTAATTTTCCCATCTCCAAAGGTGACTGGTGATTAATGAGTGGATTCACAGAGTGTGGAGAATAAGCTCCAGGGATGTCTGTGTAACACACAACAACCAACTAATGAGGACAAACAGAACAATGAATGGGACAAAAATCAATACTATTTTTTAAGTACTTCGAAACAAAAAAATAAAAAAGTATCAAGTACCTCAACATTAAACTATAAACTGGGTTGCAGAATTAAACAATGAGCTTATAAAGATGATCTAAAAGCCCTCAAAAGATCAGTCAATAAGAGACTTTCAGGCGTATTTCCAGTAAAAATTATACTGTTATACATTCACTTAATCACTTTATGTTTATATATTAAAATGTCTTAAATATTTTAGTTAACCCTCAGAATCTGTGAGGCAGAAAAGGACCTACAACTGGGGACATTCATAACTGAAATCATTATCAAAGAAAAAATGTATTTCACAAAGGAATTATATTCTGAGTAGCGTGATGCTAATCATTTTTATAAGCAAAATACTATAGTCCTTTCATTCTGAAATCTTAGTTATTATGTATAAGTATTAACCTTCTCTCAAACTTGTAAAAGATCAAAAACCTAAATATGTGAAATCAGTTATGTATAAATATCAAAGCCAAAGTAGGTAGATTTCAGGAATCAGCTAACTTATACCCAAACGAAATTAAATATTTATAAAATAGTAATGCCCTCATAACCCAAGAGGCAAACAGAAAGAAAAGAGAGTATGCATAATCACTTTTTATACATATTGAAGTAGAAATCTGAATAAAGATATACATATTTAGGAAAATACCATTTTTAATAGTTGCCACATATTTATGAAAAAAATTATGTAAACCTAGACAAATATAAAAAAGAAATGATGTAAAACTAGACATTGCTAGAGTGACAGAAGTAAACTTTATTCATATTTTAACAAAATAATATGGTATCAGTAATATTTAACAAATAAATCTACTGAACGTGATTTGTATTTAAAATAATCATTAAAGGAAAATTAAAGCATGGATCCACTTTTAAATAATCAATTTTTGTTAGTTTCAGTTTCACTTAGAAACTTCTTTAAAGTTAACTGAAATTTTTGTTAATGAAAGCTGGTAATAATGTAAATTTGGAAATAGATGCCGGACCAGCATGGCTCAGTGGTTGAGTGTCGACCTATGAACTGGGAGGTCAAGGTTCGATTCCTGGTCAGAGCATATGCTCAGGTTGGAGCTCCATCCACCGTGGGACATGTACAGGAGGCAACCAATCAGTGATTCTCTCTCATCATTGATGTTTCTTTCTCTCTCTCTCTCCTCTCTGAAATCAATAAAAGATATTTATAAATACATAAATAAAATTGGAAAGAGAAATTTCAGGAAGGTTAGAAAAACACTAATATTGACTATATATATATATATATATAATGAGTAAAAATGAAACCTATGAAAATTCTACTAATTACATAAAACTAAAATTGGTTCAAGCAAAATTCTCTTTATATGGAGCCATCCTATAGGATGTGGAACTTAGTAAGTACACAAAGTATGAAGACACCATCATTTAACCAAATACTGGTAGCAAATGTTCTTTCACTTAAGTCACTCTTCCTGAAAGTTAACAGGAAAAGATAAAAAGGAATGGGAAATTATAAGGATTACGGGGGAAACATCATTCTCTTGGGCTAATAAGATAAAAGGCAAGGGCTGAAATGCAAGGGGTTTTTAGCAGGATTCAAATGAGGGCGTGGAAAGAAGGGGCACAACAAAATCCAGGTTCTCCCTCCCCCTTTAGCTCATCTCACCCAGGAAAAAAAACTTAAGGACTGTTTTAGTCTTTATACTTTTATCTCTCTAATATATCTCTTTCAAGTCAGAATAAAGCTAAGTGGGATCTGAAAGATCAACATCTTTAAAGCAAAATACACTTTTAAAAAAGGCAGTCAACCCAGTCGGCGTGGCTCAGTGGTTGAGAGTCGACCTATGAACCAGGAGGCTACGGCTCGATTCTCGGTCATGGCACATGCCTGGTTGTGGGTTTGATCCCAGTAGGGGGTGTGCAGAAGGCAGCCGATCAATTATTCCCTCCCATCATTAATATTTCCATTTCTTTCTCCATCTCCCTTCCTCTTTGAAATCAAATTTTTTTAAACATTTTTTAAAGGAAGTCATTCATGTAAATAGACACTGGCTAACAAAAAAATTGAAGGCAACATTCTTCCAACTACATCTAAGTGTCCCATCTGTCTCTATCACTAAGTTTCTCACTTTATTTTTCACAGAAGCTAGACAATATATAAAGAAACATTGACTAGAAATGAAAAATGTCACTGCCAGTACTTTAATATATTATTCAACAAAAACAAAACAAAAAAATCTGCTATCTATGAGTAATTTTATTAATGGTATCATAATCAATTAAGTTATTTTTCTTTAAAAACACAGCTACTTAGAAATGTGGAATGTGTTAAGAGCCTAACAAGAAATTTTTAAAGTCCCTAAGTACTTGAGGGACTCAATGCTTCCTGTTAACATTGCTTTGACATGGTAAAATCAAACTGTATAATATATTTTTAAAAAGTAAAAAAAAATCACTATGTATTACCTTCATGAGGAAAAGCTAAATTTTTGAGGTGGGACTATAACACTCAGTGACACTAAGGCATGAATTTGAGAAATATTTAACAATTTCTAAGACAGTTTGACCCATAACCAGCTATAAATCTTACTTTACAAGAATAACAGTTACTGTTACTATTGTAGAAAGGAGACTATCAGTTTTGGAACAGTATCCATGCAACACCTTCAACTTATCCCCAAATGTCAATCAAATTTCCTAATTAGAGTTAGTACAGTGCTCTCCCTAAGCACAAAGTAAGCACTTAATGAATATAGTTAATGACAGTAACACTGAAAAAACAAACAACTGGGAAAGTTATTACTTAACCACCAGGTGTAAATATGACTGTATTTTAGTCTCTGTTTAGCTTTCTATAGCTAACATATCACCAGAAAAATCCTATCTTACAATTTAAATAACAAAGTTTTCAAGAAATAAGATCAAATGACCTAAAGAATTTTCTAAGAATCTAGGTAGACTATAAAACAAAACTCATTTTTCTCTCAACGTTGTACTTAAATACGGTAGTGCAGTAAGATTTGTCTACTTTTTAATTCATTATGAGGTAAAAAGAATATCAGAGAAAAGCAAACATGAAGGTGTCCACAGATGTTTATGTGCATTTTATTGTGGTTGCACATGATGCCAACCTAGAAGAGCTTAGACTCTGAAAAACTGTATCACAAGAACCAGTTATTTAAATCACAAAGTGATGTGACGTGATTCACAAGTGCCTTAAAAGTGAAGGAGGAGGGAACACATGCTTCAGGAATTTTTAAAAATGCTTACCAATGCAAAGTTACAATACTAAAGGAAAATAGCCCTTTTTCAATATGCCCTTATTTTTTAAGATCAACTATTACTAAACTTCAGAATTCTCAAGAAATTCTTTTGAAGCATTTATCTAGTCCTCAGATGTAACTAATATATCCATAAAAAATAATTTCTGCCAAAGGTAGGCAAAGGAAGTTGTTATTAAAGAACCCCGAGAGCTTCTGAGGAAGTTTGTAAAGTAGTACAGCTACCTGCATACCCTAAACCAGGGCTTTCAACCTCAGCACCACTAATATTGTGGGCAGGATAATTCTTTGATGTAGGGAGCTTTCCTGTGCATTATAGGATGTTTACTTAGAAGCTTCCCTGAACTGTTTTCACAAGATGTCAACAGCATCCCCAGCTCCCACCCCACCCCAACTGTGATGATCAAAAAATGTCTCTAGGCATTTCCAAACCTCCCAGGAGTAATCCCCAGTTGAGAAATTAGCTCCTTAAACAAAAATACTTTATCTATACCATTAGGAAGGATGGTTCTCTTGAACTGAAATCTCAAGGCCACTCATGGCACAACATAAGAGAAGAAAACACCAGCCTAAATAGGCCAGATAAATGTTGAATCAACACTGGCAATCGATGGCTAAGACGTGGAAAGCCAGGGCTCCCTATATCTCATTGAGGATGTTTTTCTAGCCATTCTAGCACTTCACCTTAAAATTTATGGTTTTGTGCCTTATATTTTCTCTATAACCGAAGAAATAACTGAAGGATGAATAGGTACTGGGACCCTTAAACCAATGAATACATGAGTCAAAGAGATGTCCTACAAGGAACAGAATTCAGAGACATTCTAGAACAGTAAACGAGAGCAAATGTTGTCCAAAGAATGTGAAAAATCAACATTTATTAAAAGAGGCATCTACAAATGTCTCACTTTCTTTATAATCTATTCACTGTGAAGCTTCCTTATTCTTTTAAGTGGCAATAATAACAAAACCACATAGGAGTCCTTACCAATGAAGACCATAGTGCTAATAGCCAACATGTTACAATCATTGGAGGTTAGTTCTAACTTGATGGCAATTATGGGCAAAAATTAAGCATCAAAGGAAAAAAATAAAGAAAAAAGACCAATTACAAAACAGGAAATGTGAAAAAGGACTGTCAGCACACACAGTGCTCTTCTATATTCTTAAAAAAAAAAAAAAAAAAAAAAAAAAAAAAAAATTAGTTTTACCCACCAAGACACCAATTTCAGGCATCTACCACACAACTCTACCTGGAAATGGGGTTAAAAGATCTCAATTCCCACTAATGTAAGTGTCTAAGCAAGGATGCCCTCACATTGTGAATCCAATTATACCAGTCGCCTTTGGAAATGTATCCATAATCCACTATTATAATCTGATCCTTTTTAAATGACCAATAGACTTTTTATTCACTTTTAAACATTGCTGCTAACGGAAAAACTTTCCAAGATAAGTGATAAAAGAACTGAAAAATCAGAGCTTAAAATGAAAAGATACCTTTAACCACAGTATATAATAGCTATCATAAGTTAAAATCTAGAACTTACCCCAATGGCAGAAATCAGAAGAAACCACAAAGAGATTACTAGGATCCGCTAGATATTTACTGAAGAGTTTTCCGAATTCCTGTTCTTTTGACTCACTCAGAGCTCCAACCAGTACAGGAATAATGGTAAACTCATCCTTATGGCTTAAAGAAAACAGAAAAAAAAGTCACTTGAGAAGTATAAGAATAAAAATAGTTTCCAATGTCTTTGCACTAAAAAGTAGAACACATATTAATAGTAGTAAAGATAATACACATATTGTTGAATTCTTAAAATCTATAAATTAAATGTTTAAAGAAGACCACTTAAAAATGAGAGGTATAAAAAATGAGGTACAGAATACTCAAAATATCTATTTAAATTACGGAAATGTACACTACTTCTTTAGATAACCAAATGTGCAATACTACCAGTTGGAATAACATCTTCAAAAATAAAAATAAGCCCATCAGACCATCACTAAGTCAAGTCTTCTCAACTACCCCACAAAGCTGGAATCATCTGCCCAATACTTCCACAACTTTAAAAGAACATTAAACTCTTCCTCACCTATTTTAGTCCTTTCCTATTATTAATACCACCATTTCTAACATTTGTTCCATAAACCTGCCAAGTGAGACCTACACCACTTAATATTAGCTCCCATACGATTCCCCAATTACACTTTCACCTATACTAATAAACAGATACAAGACAGCCTGGAAATATAACTCAATTTTACTGGCATGTAGGGTGAACACAGATTCCAAAGACGTAGGTATTCATTTCCAACAGCAACAATAAAATACCACATCCACCCACAGTGTTTACAGCATAACCACAAATCCCTTTTTCACTCCACAGACTGACAGGTTCATGGAAAAGGAACAGAGCAAATTAATAAAGAAGAACTATGATGGGCTATAGAAATAGGTATTTATCCAAAACTTCTTAAAATGTTCATTATAGTGAAATTTTAATTGCATATATTATTATTTATATTCTAAATGATCCCAGATTGGAGTTTAAGAAGCGTGAAATCATGCTTGTCTGACTTGTAACGAACAAGATTTAAGAGGATGGGAGATCACCATTATATTAATGCTCTTTAATATGAATAGTCTGACACTTTACTAATGTAGGACAAATAGAATTCATAAAAATTCTTTAAAATACTAAGTTTAAATATTCCCAAAATAAATGTTATTCCAGCTTCATAAAGCTAAATACAGGGCAACCAAGCGCCTCCCCCGTCATGAAGGCCCCCTTACCCTTGTCAATTGCGAAATAAACAGATCATACAGATCTCCAGTCCCTCTGCAATGCAGGGGCTTCTTGGACAGAGTCTGCATCTATGGAGTAAGAAAAAAAGAGGAAGCTGGCAGAGGAAGCTGCCATGGGGTATTTCTTTCTCTGACTATTACCAATTTGCTTAAAAACTGCGTGCGTGAACAGGGGCTCTTCAATAAGTTAAGAGTGATTATCATTTCAAAGAAAAGAACTGAGCTCTAGTAAAAATTCAAGAAGATTATTATGACCTGTTCTGTTCTAACTTCAAGTACCACCTACATAATAAATACACCAAGAAAATCAAAGAGTTGGGAAGTAATTACAACATGGTGTGAGAGCAGTTATATAGAGTATAAAAAACAGTAAGTCAGAAGAAATGGGATCAAGTATTATCTATATCACATGCAAATGTTGAGAGTATGGCTAAATTACTAACCCAAAAATGTCCTTATCTGTAAAATGATCATAATTATAATACTAATTTCATAAAATGGTGACAAAGTGAAGAATACTATAGGAGAAGTACTTTGTCAACAACAGTTGGCTCACTCTGCAGAAACAACACATATCTACCCTCCACAGGGGCCACCAAACATTCAATTAACTAGTTTGAGCTCACAAATCTACCTATAAAGGTAAAAGGCTCATACTACTTAAAAATCTAAGCCTTGAATCAAGATTCATCCATACACCTCTCTTTGCTCTTTCCCTTTTTAAACAACTATATGTTGTTCTCTGTACCCCCAAAGGATGAATTAGAAAGAGCATTCGGCTTTGATATATAATATTCCCAGGTTTCAGAATCAATTTGTGAAGTTGGTCTTCCCTAGTAAAGGAGTACAAAAAACAATTTATAAAACTGAATAAACTGTCAAAGACAACCATTTCGTGCTCTAGAAATCAACCAAGGGCAAGAAATAAGATTAGAGTTTATTCGTTAAAAAAAAAAAAAACAACACCTGAATTTCTTAGGAAGAACAGTGGAAGCCTGGCACCTTAGGAGGAGTGTCCCCATGCCCTGCTCTACTCCACGAACATGGCAGTTCTGTTGGCAGTGAGAATTGGCAACAGGTGTATAGACCATGGAAAGAGTCAATAAAAATATTTTTAAATATATAAAATACGTATTTAAAAAAGAGAGAATAAACTCTGTTTTGCATACTTACATCTGTAACCTGTATATGGGCGAGAGATAAGTTTATTTTATGTGTCATTTTACAGCTTGATCAGTATGTCTATGCTCACCAAATAGTACACATTGGAAAAGTGCATTTTGTTGCATGTCAGTTATAACTATACTTAAATAAAGACTTAAAAAGTGCTTCCAAATGAAGAGCTAGATATCCCTGCCTTGTTAGAAAAGTAAAATGTCAACCCTAGTAGTATATGGGCTCTTCCAACCGCATCAGTTCAGCAGCCTCGTCGGTACTTGAGTTCTGGCTGGAAAAGAATTCAGAGCCAAGACTCAAGCTATACGAGAAGGTTGATTTAGAACACATGTGTCAAACACAAGGCCCGCAGGCCAAATCCGTCCGCCAGGCCTTGCAATGTGGCCCGCACCGCGCTGTCATCACTGCACTCCGCTGCGTTTCCATCACAATGACAGTTTATGACTGTTCAGTAAACCATTCGGCCCGCGATTTAGGCTGGATTTTAGATTTTGGCCCCTTCTCTGATTGAGTTCGACACCCCTAATTTAGAAAGTCACAGAGGTAGAAGTGAGCTGTAAAGGAAATGGGCTCAGGAAACAAGTTACAGAGACAGAAGACGGGCCCTTGGAACTTAGGAGAGCAAAGGGAAAAGGTAGCATGCCTGGGGAAAGAGGTGGCCAGTGTTTTTATTTAATTAGCGGTACATAATTTAAATCTTAAAAGTGATGACATTTTTAACTAGATGACGTACTGTATTCAAATAGTTATTTGCTTATTCTTCTTCTGGAATTAATTTGGATATTTGTCCCCTGAAAAATATTAATATGAGAATTTTTTTTTATACAAATCCTTCCAATTTCCGTAGTCCAGAGAATTAAACAAATCATAACAGATACAGGAAGAAGACAATTTATCCTTAATCCTAAAGGTGATTAAAGTTGTTGCCACAATAATATGATTATATGATTTATTCTCCTTTCCTCTTTTAGACAGAAAATAATCACAGAAGAAAAAAAGGATAAAACATATGATGATAAAAAATAAATGCCTTGCCAAAATCGGTTTGGCTCAGTGGATAGAGTATCAGTCTGTGGACTGAAGGGTCCCGGGTTCGATTCCGGTCAGGGCATGTGCTTTGGTTGCGGGCACATCCCCATAGGAGGCAGCTGATCAATGATTCTCTCATCGATGTTTCTAGCTCTCTGTCCCTCTCTCTTCCTCTCTGTAAAAAATCAATAAAATATATTTTTTTTAAATAGATAAATAGATAAATAAATAAATGCCTTACACTAACTTTTATTCATCTTATTCATGGTTATAGAAACTGAAATTGTTCCATTACAACAAACAAATTTTTTAGCTATATTCTAGGATTCTCTATGCTCTATAATTCTAAGTAATCTTTTACTGATGTGCAGGTAATACTCAAAGCATATATAAAAAAGGAAAACTCAGAAACAAAGAAAATCCCTATCTGTTCTAAAATCTCAGTAAATAACAATAAAAAATATTTAACTGCAAGACATATACAGAAATACACAAATAACCATAAGTATAAAAGTCACAGAATAAGAACACATTTGAAAATGGCACTGTTCCTATGGCTGTCATTCAAGCTGGACAGAGGTAGAAAATCTCAGACTTCTTTCTATGTCCAAAGACAAGCCTTTTTCCTTTGTTAAAGATGACCTATTCAAGAACACATCTTACTTTTCTCTGGCATTTCCAATATCTGAAGACCTTAATCGAGGCCACAATCAGAAAGAAAAATAAAATCGTTAGACCTAGTACAACCTAAGCTATAATAAAGGTTAGGGTGGGGTGTAAGTGAATCAAAAAAATCAAAAAGTTGGAATGGCAATCTGGCAGCCTGGAATTGGGAAAGGGGAGTCGGAATTCTGCAAGTCTGCTGTGCAATCTTCAGAAGGGACTGCTTGTAAGACCGTCCTTGGTGACATCTGCGAACTTGACTTTTAGTGTTCCTTATGTGATTAAGGCTGTTTGACCCCCTTGGGATACTCTACCAGATTGCCTAGATTGTTTATAAAAATGTCATTATAGCTAACACCTGCTTTCCTTCTGGGAGTCTGGAATTGCAGTAATTGTGCTTAGTTATACTGGCAGCGAGTGCCTACTTAACCAGCTCCCGATAAAAAAACCTGGATTTAAAAATAAATAAAACCTGTTTTTGAATCTTTTTAACAAGATGTTATTAATTTTTTTTTAAAGGTACAGAGAAAGGGAGAGGGAGACAAAGAGAGACATCAATCGGCTGCTTCCTGCAGGCCCCTGACAGGGGATTGAGCCTGCCACTGGGGCACGTGCCCTAACTGGAAATCAAACCTGCAACCTCTTGGTGCATGGGACAACATCTAACCAACTGAGCCACATCAGCCAGGAATGGTTTTAAATCTTAAAAGCAGAGGAGGATCCAAGATGGCTGCTCGGGTAGACACCTAACCGCAGCAGCACACAACAATTTCAATGGAATACAACTAAAATGTAGAGTGGACATAGCCCAGAGCTACAGGTAGTCGACTGACTGAAAATTCTACAACAAGAAGGAAAGAGAAAACCAGAAGGAAAATCAGAGGAGCTGAAAAAAAGCCTAAGGTACAGAGATAATGCTGCGCACTCGCATGCACGCGCGCGCGGAGAGGTCGCAGCCGGAGAGGAGGAGAGGGCTGGGTGCTGCCTGGCGTTCCCTACCAGGAAGGAAATAA